ATCATCATCATCATCATCATCATCATCATCATCATCATCATCATCATCATCATCCTCTTCCCTCTTCTCACCCTCCTCCTCCTCCCCCTACCCTTTCCTCCTCGAATTACTCCTCATCCTCCTTCCTCCCCACCCACCACCTCCTTCTCGTTTTCCTCGCCCTCCTTTTCCTCCTACTCCTCCTCCGCCTCCTCCTCCTCCTCCTGCCACCCCTCTTCCGTCTCCGAAGAAAAGACGGCGCGCGGCCCAGACGGCCTCGGGCCAGTGGCGGTCAGGGTGGGCACTGCCGGAAGCAGCGGCAGCCCGTCCCCTGGGGCAGGGCCAGCAGAAGGGGGGCCGTCCTCCTGAGGCCGCTCTTATTCCCGACCCATTCCCCCCCATCTTCCTGACCATTCCCAACAACTCCGCCTACACACACACTCACACATATATTTTTTGAACTCGACATTCCGAGCAGGCCGATGCCAATTGAAACAACAAGAAGTTCAATTCAGGCGTTCACGTTCAAGAAGCAGTACGAATGAGCGGAAAAAATACGAGCAATATCAGATGATCGCCCCATCCCGCTTCTGCAGCTAATGCGTCGCGGTCCAGGACGCGGGGCGGAGGGCGGAGGACGGGAACGGAAGGATTGCCCAAACCTTATGGGAAAAAAATACGTTTCAAGACCTGTTCCTTCACAAATCTCTGGATGCCCCTCACATTTCTCGCGCGGCCCACTCTGGAATGGCCGGCCTGCGCAGCTCCGGCCCCACAGGCGCCCCTCGAGAGTGCGGTTGCTGTGATGGGCGAAGGGGGTCCACCAACATCTCCGCCACCGCACCACGCAACACTCAGCGAGCGAAGAACGGTATAAAATAAACTTTTCCGCCGTCGGGGGCGCCTGTCCCTGGGCGGCTAGAAAGTTTATACCCCTACGGTGCCACCGAAGGGTATAAACTTTCCAGCCGCCCTGGGGCAGGTGTCCCCGACGGCGAACAAGTTTATTTTATACCGTTCTTCGCCCGTTAAAACACCCCAACACGCGCACAAACCACATACGCTACCCGAAATCCCCCATACCCCTCCATCCCAAGGATAGCAACCTCTGCCGAAGCGAGCGGGGCAGGAGTGCGGGTGGGACAGGCCAACACGCGGTGGATGTGGGAAGTCATGGGTTGTGGGGTTCAGGCCGATGCTCGCGATCTTGGGACGCTCTGACAGCGCCTCGAGCTTGCCTGCAGACCCCATGTATTTTCCCACCCCGATTTCTCTGACTTCCCATAATATCACAACCTGGCCACCCTCCACCACAACTACACTAGAAGCTGCGAGTAGCAAGCTGCAGACTGTACTGCTGGAAGGAGTGGCGAGAAGGGGGAGCAGGAGAGGCATGAAAGGATGGAAATTAGAACGGGGTGCTGGTTAGGCTCTCTCTCTCTTGCCCAGCTTCGGATCTGAGCCTCGGAAATGGCCGCAGTTTCAAACGGCCGCCAGGCCACTGGCTTCAAGCTGCCGCGTGAACAAAATCGACTTGGGAAGGAAGCCCACTGGCCCCAAGATGGATTAGCGGCACGGAGAACGCAGCGCTGCTCGTGCCGCCAGCATCAGCAGCCACGATTAGCCAGCCGTGCTGACAGCCACGCATGGCCAACCATGCTGACAGCCACGAAGCGCCGGTGCCTGAGCTCTAGCGCCAGCTGGAGCGCACATCCTTCCCTACACCCACACCCCTCCAAGCGCTCCCCCCCGTCCATTACACCTGCCAGGCAGAAAATCAAGGGGGCGGACAGGCGGCGAGAAAAGGGGTGATGAAGACAACGCTAGTCAGCAAGAGCATACATCGCAGAAGACACGCAAGGCTAGATGACCTGGAAGCTAAAATGTTCCTGGCCCTTGCCAACCTCGAATCGTTTTCGCCTGGCCTCAGATTTCTCGACCGCGATGTAAAACCCCGCCCTGCAATCACTATGCGACCAATCCGGCGACCAGGGATTCGACGACCTGGCCCCCAGCTGAAGCGGCGCCCACTGCAACCCCAGATGACGGACCGCGCCTGTAAGCGCTATAACTTGTTTCGCGCGTTGCCGGAGTTGTTCCCGACGGGTGTCGAACAGTCCGGATGTTTCCGCATACTCATCGCCACGGTTCGTGTCATTGTCGTGGAACGGCATCTAATGCTCTTCCAGCTGGGCACGCAGCTGCTGCCTCTGCGCGCTCCAATCGACCATGAGAGAATATACGAGTTGCTTTTGCTGAAAAGCGTCTTTACTGCTCTTGTCGCAGAACCTCTCCGCGGCATGCATCTGCTCCTTGATCAAGTCAAGCCGGGAGGTCCGCCGCTGCCGAACGTCGTCCCAACGCCCTTGAACCGAAGTAGGCCGTTTTTTTTCTGCAACATGCGCTGCGTGTTCGCCTCACGCTCTTTCGAAGCTTGCTGCATCTACTTCATGAGCACGCGCGCCTGCGACTCGAGACGCTGCTGGTTCGCTCCGGAATGGACCATGAGAGAAGGCGGTTG